TCGCCATTTTATTTATGACTTGAGCAAAGATCACCTCACTGGCCGCTCCCCATTTTTAAAAGATGTTTGACAGCCTCTGGAGGGCCCATTCTCCTGCCCCATCACCCACAGCAATGCTATTCACACCACATACCTCTATCACCTAGAGCTGTTCAGTTTTGCATTTTATTAAGTATAATGCATGATTTTAATTTTATTTTTTTTTAAAGACATTAAGAAATCTTACTCGGCCTAGCAAGTCCTGACTTGTGCCCAGAATGAACCCAACTGGTATAAAAGGAAAACATAGAGGCCAAAGACAGAAGAGCTACACAAATATATTCACTACTATAGCACACTGCATTGATTTTCCCAACAGACTTAGCTCAGCATCTGGAGATAACACGGTGACTGCACTGACAAGCTGAGCTGGCTGAGGATGGCTGGGGAGAATAAAAATGGGGCTGCAGACACAAAGGGGAGTATCTAACCATTAACTAAAGCCCAGGAACGGGAAGCTGGTGTTGCACTGCCATTGTGGAAACTTCAGTCACCTCCACGGAGCTGGCAACAACTGACGGACGTGTTAATCACGAGAAACGTGGGTCAGGGCGAGTAGTGAGAAACAACCCCTGCTCGTGCGTGGAAAGCTGCTGGTTGGGCTGACTTCAGCAGAAATAAAGTTTCAAGGGGAATTTTTGCTAGACTCCAGGCTTCTGCCCAAAACGATGACACACAAGGAAATCAGAGCCACCGCCGGGATTTGGGTACACAAGGGATCTTTTGTTCCTCTAAGAAAAGCAGGAAGCATGCAGCCAGGGCACCAGCGGCTGTGCTGGCTCTCTGAGGGATCCTGGATGTGTCCCCAAAGCTTTTACTTCACTTTCAGGAGTGCAAACGCCTTCTGCAGCACCCAGAAGTGTGAAAAGGCATCAACATCCAATGCACCAACATCCAATGCACCTCGCCAGGTAGTATCAGGAGGGTGGAGAGCAAGGCCAGAGGAGGAGGTGCTCGCATTGCCCTGCAGATATGTTCCAAAGCACAAATTGCTTTGAACCCCACAGCCTCAGCTATTAGTAATCACTAAATGATCCACCCTTCCATCACCCCAGCACTTGACTCCATCACCTCCGGTAGCAGCACTTGGAGCAAATTAACTCCATGCTGTGTATTTTGCCTCAAACTGTATTATTTCAATGAAACCAAGTGCACTTAGTCTCACGCTGGGTATGCATGGGGTTTCTAAAGAGCTGGTCACCAGAAAAATTAGAGGCTGTCACATATGAATTTTAATCACTTGCCTTTTTTTTTTAGAGCTGTTTTACATGCAAGCACTGCAAAGCAACTCCCTGCAAAGCATCCTCTTTGGGAAAAGCTTTAATTTAAAGGGGAGTTTTAACACGTGCCCTCATCATGATAAGTGTTCGGATGCTTTGTGAACTATTTTGTCCCAAAAAAAGGGATCAGATATTGTTATACACCCTCTGCAGCCCCTTGCCCAGCCCACCCCCAATTTTTTTTTTTTCTTTTTTCTTTTAAATTGCCATTTCCTGATGACAGGGCAACACCAGACACAGGATCCAGCAGAGCTTTAGAGCCACCCGTGAAGGTGCCTCCAGTCCCATCTCACAGACACCATCAGCTTGAGGCAGGCAAGAAACCACAGGACAACTTCACTAACACTTGTAAACCAGCAAATGTCTTCAGTTCTGCCCTGGCACCCTGTCTCTACATGGTAATCGTATACTAGAAGCCCAGAGAATTAAAAATGTAACTGCCTCCAACTTGTCTCATTTAACAGAGAATCTCAGATTTTGTGCGCTTTTTCTTTGCCATCTACCCAATCCCATTCAGTCACCTCCACTGTGTCTTCCCAGCGTGCTCTGGGCCACTAATAAAGCTAAAATAGACATACATTACATACATATATTATGCCTTTTATATATATATAAATATATATATATGTATTTGACCTTGCCTTCTGCATTGGAGAAGAGCTATCCAAGGTGACTTCATGTTTCCTGATTACGTCCTTGCTCTGTTTATCCTATAAAAACATGACACACCTTGCAGCCTTCCTTATCCAAGTCTTCATGAAAAGGACAAAACGTTTGCCCTCGGAGGACCGCTGCAACTTGAAACCCCACAGCAATGGAGGAGCTGGCACCATCATCCTGCTCACACACTCACTCTAAGTTTGCACTATTTGCCTGTGGCCCCAAAAAAGTCTCAAGTATTGTTTCAGCAATGCTTTTTTTGAAGGGTTTATTACCCCAGTGCAGCATCTGATCTCAAGGAAGCATTTTATTGAGAGTCAGCTAATCAAGTTCTGCTCTGCCACACAAACTGCATGAATATTATCCCATGGACATATATAAATGCTTGAAAATGAAGCCACACATTGCAAAACTTGGAGATGACACACCACCAAACACCGGACAAGCTCATGCAGCAATGACTGCTTGGTGGCTCCAGCAAGTTATTTACTCAGTACCTTTTTGCTCACTGATGTTGGAAATAACATCAGCTGTTTCCAAGCAATCTTCCACAGAGAAAGCTTGTTTTACCTGTTTGATTTTCTTTCTTACACTGAGGATGCTGTTGTTGAAAGAAAACCAGCGAAATTCAAACAAAATGCATATCTGTACTATTATTCTCGCTTTTTTATGATGCGAGTTGCATTTAATTTATTTTTAGAATAAATAATTCCAATTTGCAAGCCTGTATATGTATATACATACACAAGCACACGCTCATATAGATAAATAAAGAATGAAACCCAGCAGGCTAGCCAGAGACTGGTTTACCTGCTCTCAGTCACTTCGGAAGTTTGACCTTTTGAGATTGCAGGTTTGAGTTTTAATCCTGGTCTACCGGACACACCAGACATAACGCAACCATTTAAAAGCTAAGACACTGCAAAACGAGTGCTGGTTTTGCACCACTTTAGGTTTACCACATTCACAGACGTCCATCCTGATGGCTGAGCTGCCAAGCACCCGTGTCCCACCACGCTCACGTGCACCACAGCTGCCTAGAGCAGAGCTGCAGATACAAAACATCTCGCAGAGTCGGTAATTCAGTTAAAAAAAGGCAAAAGTAAGTCTTCTTCAATGCGTTACCATCCATCACACGTGAGACACGCCATCCATGTGCCCTGCTTGAGGAGCTCCACCAGTCTCCTTGCAGCACTGCGGAGGGAAAAGCCTGAATCGAACTGCAGAGAACAAAATGCCCACCCAGAAGCTTTCAGATTTAAAATACAGTGTGTGACATTTTAAGGCACATTTCAAATAACCAGGCAGATTCCTATAATCCACCTTCCAATCCCCTCTCAGCTCCACTTGAATCTCTCTTTTGTACCCAAGCCTGCAATTACCGTAATACCAAACCAAGACAGAAAGCACCAGAGCAGTGCTGAACAGCGAGCGTCTGGTTTAAAAGCTTTGAAGGTGGTTATTTCCATGTCTCCTTCAAACAGCGCTCCTAATCATCCAGAAACAGCAGTTATCAATTATAGCTGGCTGTCAAAAGTAGATTTACTGTGATAAGGAGGGGAGCAGAGTCGAGGACTTCTGGCTAGACCTGCCTGTTAGACCACTGCCTGCAAAATTACACAGGGATGTGGAAACCCACCAAGTCTTCCACAGCACAGGCTTTGGCAGAAAAGCAAGTCCTGGCCTTATATTTTAGACATGTGCCCAGGAAAATCCATGAATCCTGTCCACGCTGGTTAGCAAACGCTGACATCTTCTACAAAGAACCATGCAGCTTGCTGCTCAGCCTGGATTCACATAACAAGGACACAGCCCTAAGCCTTCCTCTTTCTATAGACAGCTCCTCAACTTTCTAAATTCTTCCCAAAGTGGTTTTGCCCAAAGCACAATCACTTGCAGGAGGTCTGAATTGCAGGCTGGAGTCAGTCTGGGTACAACCCATCTGAACTCTGCCCATGGCAGTGCTCCTCTAGATGTATTTGGGGATTGAACTCTGGCTCACCTTTGATTAGAAACGCATCCTGACTCACCACGTACAGCCAAGACACAGCAGAAAACAGGCTGAAACCCTTGGTAAAGAGTTCAGTGCTTACTCTTGCTATTGAAAGCCACGGCTGTATAAAAATCACAGCTAACCCACAAGCAAATGTAAACACACTGTGTGAGTCCAGACAACTACAATAAAATGGTCCCTGGTGCAATAACTTCCAGCTTCCTCTCAAATTCTCTTTTGGATCACAGTTTATCCTGCAAGAACAAAGTCCTGCATCTGTCATCAGCAACATAAAACACACAGAAATAAAGTAAAACACAAACCGCATTCATCTAGTGAAGACACTGCTTCGAAGGACCCATAAATATCTCCCAATATCTGCCAGTTACCTCCTAACTCAAAATCAGAGTGTCTCAATAAAGACGACCATTAGCTTCTGGGCTTAGTCTGATTATCTCACCAAATTATCTGAAACGTGGTTTCCTCCAAGCTATTAAACATGACATTTGCGGAGTGCTTTGAATTTCTTCCAGGAAACTCATCCAAGCAGCAGCAGGAGAAGGATCCCCATCTGAACCACAGTTGCACCAAACCTGTGAGTTCCTGAGGACCACAGAGATCCCCATCAGCCCAGCCTGCCCAGCAGTCTCACCAGCCCGATAATGGAGTCAAGTCGGTAAGCAGAATTAATTAGAAATACCTGACCTCAAAGAGATTTCAGGGTGAAGAGGTTCTGCACCGTGCAAGGAGGCTGACATAGGAACCAACTCTTGCATCTTGCAGAAGAGGGACAGAGCTACAGCATCCGTAGGTACAGATGGCCACCATGATGGGGATATACCATACCATCTCAGGGATATAAAAGCACGATAGAAGACCCAGATTTTTATCTCTGCTGAGAATATGGGAAGTTTCACACTCTTTTCCACAGCTTCACTTTAATTGCGTATTTGCAATATTTAATTGGATACTTGCCCACTTCTGATCTGACAGTTCGATCCGACCCTGTTGACTGAGCGCCCACTCACCTGGCCATCTGCTTATAGGCTTCCTCTGCCACCGCAAAGATGTGAGGATCCATATCCCCCATGTTTTGGCCACTGTACGCGTAGATGACATCTTGTTCGTAGATTGGCAGCTGCCCATATGGATTGATGGCAACAAGTACAATACCTTAGAACAGATAAATAGACAGATATGTTACAAACCAAGCACAGAGTTAATACTTCAAGCTTTTCAGGGCTTGCTTTAGTTGTTTCAATCAATTTTTTAAATATGATACTTGGGGGGAAAAAAAAGATGAGAAGGGAATGGGGAAGGACTCCTAATTCTTATCTCAGCATCTCCTTCAAAGTGCTGTGCTTTGATAGCAAGGCTATAAGCTTCAGTACAGCTACAGAGAAGGCACATGAAACTGGGGGAAAAAGCAAATATATAATAATCTTCATTGTGTGAAGCCAGACTTTGCAGAAAGAGTAAGAAGAACTAAATAGTGCCTGAGCCATCATTTCAGAAAAGCAATTCCTATGCAACCAAAGCTCTGCTAGACCCAAACAAATATCCCGGATTTTCCCCTGGCTTAAATTCTGAGTAAAAGCTCATAACAAAGAATGTACTCAAATCAAAATGAAATGCATAAATCACAGGAAAGGAATGCCAGAGCCTGCATTAAAGCTTTAAAGTTTCTTTCCTCTCCAGCTCTAGGAACACGGTGCCTGCCCGAAGGAGGCAGTGAGCCCAGAATTTAATGAGACACAAAGCCACACATGGTGCCACCTGTGTGCTCAAGGGAGCTGGTCCGCACCCTGCAAAAACTGAAGCACTCACAAGTTCCACCTGCAAACTACCTTCAGGTTTTGCAGGTTTAAATTGTTATTGTAAGGAGCTGCGGAGAGCACGTGGCTGGTGGGAGCGGGTGCTGTGCTCCCAGCCCGGCCGATTCAGGGCTCGGGCATGCTCCAATTACAGTAAAGCACGGGAACGCTCAGCCTGCAGCAAACACCAGGATACGTGACTCTAAGTCACACCAAAAGGCAAAGGTCAGCTAAGTCACATTACCTGCTTCCGCGGGATATTAACCCAACAGCTTCACCTCATCGCGCCCTGCTCCCGTTTGCATCTTGGATCTGGCAGGGTCACGCATCACTTTCCCTTAGTCACCAAAAACACACCTGCAGCCACCATGCACGCCAAGAACTTGCTGCCAGAGAAGCATTTTTTTTTCTCCCCTCCTAAATTACTTTTAACCAGAGCACAAGGTACGTTGCACCCACACAGAGCTCTGTAGCTGGACCTACCGTTGCTAAGACCAAACAGCCAAGCCTAAATCGATGCATCTTCATTAGCACAATGCTGTGCTCAAGATCATCATAAACCTTCACGAGAAGGTGCACTAGTGAAACCTCACTGACTTTGGATCAAAGCAGGTTTGCAGCTGAGAGTACACATGCAGCTGCAAAAGGCTGTGAGTTGTGCCAGCGGTCTAACATTGCGCATCATTAAATATTTAAAGGGAAGTCACCACTATTACCAGCCACTGAGACCACGTATTTCAAGGGCACTACTTTGAGGATTCATCTCCTCCTGCCAAGCATTTTCTCAGCAACCCTAAAACGCAACACCTTATCACAGCTGTACGTACCAGCCTTAACGCTGCCATGCAAATAGTCCCACGCATTTCGCTGAAATCTTGCAACTCATCACTTAGAGAATCCTTATTCTGCATCTCTGTTAGCAAGGTCATCTCGAGTGCCAGAAAGAAGGTTCAGCATTCTATATTCTCCAATGTAACTGAATAAAAATGGCTGAATTGCCTTCTTCTGGTTTTTTTAGGTTGCAGTTTGTTGCCCTCCACTCACAGGTAACTGGTGTCTTGAATGGTTTTGGCAGGCCATCCTTCCCAGGAATGACACACCCAAGTTCACACCTGCCCTCCTTCTGCTTTAAATTTAAGAGTTCAGTGATCCCCAAAGTCCTCAGGAAAAGGAAGGAAATAACAGTGCAGCAAGGGTTTTTTTGCAGTCTTTCAGGAGGAAAACCCACCATGGACATTTGCCAGTTGGATTGCATCTTTCTGGCACACTGCTGTTCTCCAGTGGTTTGCCAAGTCCTACTTTTTTCCCCACAGACTGCCAAGCACATGCAAAGTTGGCCTTAAACTCACCCAACAAGGTGTTTCCACCAAGAGTTACATACACAGACCATGAACTCGGGAAGTTCACAGTGCACCAACCCTCAAAAATCACCTCTGGTTTTGCAACCTAAAGCTTGTTGGCACACACTCATGTCTCCCACCTGCCCCAAATTCACAGCCCCCAGACCTTCCTCGTGCCACAGCCTCTGGCTTGTGGTCCCAAGGGGTTTCTATGTGGACATGCTCTGACCTACTGCTTTCCAGGAGCTGAACGTGTGGCCTGGACACTCACCACAGTACGTGTAGATGTGGTTGGACTCGAGGAACCTGACTTTGAGGTTGTGGAGGACCGCAGGCTCATGCAGGTAGCTTAGGGCCGTTAGGTCATTCTCTCCCACCAGGATATCTGGATTGCGCAGGAAAGGCAGCTCATTTCCTTGGAGGTCAACAGGATATTCGTAGAGCTGAAGAGACATATATGAGGAATGTGAGAACACAAAAACCAACAGCTCCTTGAATGTCTTATAATCCAAGGACAACTTCAGATTGATACAGTCCATACTTGCACCTCCTGCTCTAACTAGAATGGAAGACCCTTTATGCTCAATGCTATAGGGACCTGGATGATCCTGCTGTCCCACACTGCCAGGAGACAGGACATCCCCCTGGTAAATGCTTTGAGCTGGCCAAGAGATGGTCCTGGGGGACACAGATGGTCCACAAGCACCTACCTGAGCATACTTGGATTGTTTTCAGGCCAGCCTTGGGGTGAATAGCCTTTAGCCAGCTCTGAGCAGTAACAGGTACCATACAGAAAACGACAGCTTCACCTGATCTAAGCATCTTCATGCTTTTTGAAAGGCAGCCTCATTTCAAAACAGACCATATTCCTCCCAGAGTTATTTCTCAACTCATTTTTAATTCAAGTTACTTTTAGAATCAAAACCTTACACCCCTTCAGGCAAAGGAGGACATGGAGAAGCACAGAGTCCCTGCTGCTTCAGTATCTGAAGAGCCAGGTTATGCCATTGAAGCATACGGCTGCCCATATGCGAAGTAGTTTTGGCTCATCCCCAGATGAACAGCAGACCCACCAACTAAAGAAAAAGTGTAATTTTTTTTTTCTCTTAACAGTAGGGAAAAAAAAAATTGCTGGTGTTGTTGCTTCCCACAGGGTATCCTGATGCTTAGCTCCCAGCAGAAGGGAGGAATCCCAGTTTGCAGCAAGCAGAAGGGAACTACAACCATTGCATTGGCACTGCATCGCAAACAGCACAAGTCAACCCAAGTGCACAAGGACAAGCTCACGCAGCACATATGACAACCTCAGGCTTGTCTTATACTCCAATTCCACGTTGTCAACGCCAATTTTCAAGAGTTTGCACTCAGTCTCATATCTTAACGGCAAACACATCAGGGATCCCTTGTGATATTTAAAAATCAGCTCTTCATTCAGAAGGAGTACTCTTGCATACAGAGTACAGCCAAAAACCACAAAATCCATGAAAATTCACTTAAAGCACAAGGACAAAAGAGAAGCACTAAACTGTTGGGTAATGCATGTTGGCTGTCAGGAACAAAAGGCTTTCAACATCTTCAAAACCCCTGAAGATACATATGCTCAGTATCCCCATCTGATGCACATGTGTGCTGTTTCCCTTTGCTGAAGCTTTTTAGCCCAACATGACTTGGGTCCAGGCAGGGTTTCATATGGAAGAGAATCAAACAAGGGTTTCCAGGAGCATCCACAGTAAGTGGCAGTCTCTTGCACAACCCCAAAATAAGATATTTCTGTGTTTCACCAAGACAGCAACATACTTATTAAGCTACCGTCTACACACCTAGTAATCCTTTAATCTCCTTGTACTTTAATGTTGCTAACCCCAAACTCAGCTGTACAAAAAGGCTAGACTTCTTAGCAGAACTTCTTAGCCCCTTTGGTTTCCAGAGAAATATCCAGATTAAAGAGCCAAAAAGAAAAAAAAAAAAAAAAAAATCACCTCCTCTCTCCCCAAGTACTAAAACCGCTGAAGATCTCAACCAGAAAAGGATGGAGGTGGCAGCACTCAGCAATACGTGCACATGTCCTTTGGCAGCCCGAGCACCACCAGTGGTAGGAAGAAGCTGCTGAGGGCAAGATGGGTGCCCACCTGTACCCAGGCACCCATCTCTGCTGGGCACCCTGAAGAGGGCACCCATTAGTGCTGCTTGTGAAACTTGCCCCAGAGTCAAAGCCTGTAGCGCTTTTCACACCCGTCACAGGTCCCTCACAAAGCCTTGAGCATTGCCTCCTGGTTTCTCCAAGGTTTCTATCTTCTTGCTTCAGGAGCAAGAGAAAAAGCATGTAAGAAACCTGCAACAAGGGTCATCCCTGTGGCATTCGATGCCACTGGGAGGCAGGGACAAGCTGCTGCACGGAATGACTGGAAACACACCCAACATGAGCATTATGCTTGCATCATGAGCGCAAAGCGTTATGTCATTAGAGAAAAGATATGCTCAAAGGATGATTGGTATGACTTGGTATAGAGATTGGTAGATGGTGAATCCAGGAGGTCCAGCCACAGGGTTACTGGGCAGGGAGTCCACCAAGAAGCAAGGGGCTGAAAGACTCAAAGTCTTACAAGAACATGCCTAGTGCTTCCAAGTGAGTGAAGTGGTATCTGTGCACCTCCTCACCCAGATGCATCACCACAGAGGGAAAAAGCATCTCCAAGAGTGGCATCATCTGTCCTTCACCCCTTCAGAAATCTGCCCTGTGGTGGAAGAGCAAATGGGAGAGGACAACAAGCGTGGCCAGGGCCAACCCTCAGTGCAGATTTCAACGTGAATGACTTCCTTCACAAACCTGGCACATTCACATACTGCAAACGGCCCACGCTTGCACTGCTCTGAAAGAAGAATTGTTTTGATAAACAGCCTAATCAAGCGTGTCTCATTCCTTCTCTCCATCTTCCCTTTAAGTAATAGGGTGAAAAGATTCCCCGCAGTATAGAAATGGTTGGCTGGCAGGGGACGTGAATTACTCACCCTCCTCCGAGCATTTTCAATTTGGAGAAAGTGGCCTCTATTAACTCTTTTAAGCAACAGAGCAGATCACCCTATAGATAATTAAGGAAACCCTACCTGCTCAATGAGGAAAGCTGGTTTAGGTGGACTTCTTAATGAAAAATATATTTATGCTTCCTGCTACACCAGGCATCACACGTGGAAAATGCACCTCACGGCGAGCCTGTAGCACGGCTGCTCCCTTCCCATAAACCACCCAGATTTTGCAGCTGAAGCAAATGCCACGGTTAACTTCAGCTGCAATCCCCCACTGTCACCCGAAGTCCCACCCCACGGGATTTTTTTTTTTGTGCAGGACAGAAAGCAGCTGCTTTTCCCCAGCCTCCGCCCTGCTTTGGGAATGATTTATCGCTGGCTGCACACATGCCATGAGCCGGGGCTGTTTGCGCACTTGAAAGCGGCACTTGCTAAATTCTTCTACACTTAAATGAGTTGCTTATTTTTGTCTTTTTGAGCTTTTACATTTTTTTAAAAATGGAGAAAAAAGGGGTTTATATAAGATTATAATTAAAAAGAAAAACTAAGGCGTGGAGAAAGCTGTTGCACAGCAGTCACTTCTGTGCTCTATGTGATTTTTCCATTGGTACCCGAGTTTGAGTAGATGCTGCTAGCCACACTCTTTCCAATTTGCTCAGCAGCAAAAAAGCATAAACTGATATTTCTAACATACTGCTGCTGTAAAAAAAAAAAAAAAAAAAAGAAAAAACCCACCACATTCTGATATCACAGACTATTACAACTTTGCCAGGGGATGAAAAGAGATGAGAGAGGTCAAGGGCTTTTCTCGCAACCTACTTTAACGCAAGTATCTGGGGAGGGAGCGGGCAGGGAAAAGCTGGAAGTGCTAAGGCAGTAAAACACATTTTAAAATACTTCCTAAAAAAATATGAGATGGCTCAGGCTTCTTCACACATTAATTTGAAGCTTTAAATTACTGAAAAGAATAACGACGTTAGAAAGCTTACAGTTTCATCTTCAAGTTTCAGATGGAGGCTTTTATCTCCCTCTTTGTAATCCTTGATAATTTCTGCCGATCTCCAAACTTCATCAGGGTCAGGAATCCAAACCCTAGTGTGCTGGAGAGGGGAGGAAAAAAAAAAAAAAGAAAAATCTTAAACACAAGGAAATCTCAGGAAATTAAATCATAAATAAATTAATTCATTACTGGTACAATCCTATGCTCATTGTAAAGGCAGTGCAGCTAAATGATTCAAGTAAAAAAAAAAAAAAAATTTTCTAATTTTAGGGTTTGGGGCAAGTTATAGACCAGAAGCCTAATTTTCAATCAGACTTTCAATTAGGCTTCTCCTGAACAAGGCGTACACTGGCTTGTTACCAATCTAACGAAGTGGGGTACGGACTCCAGGTAAACATGAAATTCAATTTCCCTGGGAAAAAAAGAACAACTCACAAACAGCCTCCTAGAAACTTTTATGAAATAACGCAATACCCCCCAGCAGACCGTATGCCAAAGCATATTTCTTTTGAACAAAATAATAAGTTGCTCCCCACAGAGCAAGCCATAACCCAAACCCACCACCATGGAGCTAAGCAGGCAATAGAACCCAACCTCTTTGATTGGAGGCGAACCTGCAACCAGGCTTCAAGGCTCCAGAAAAATGCTTACTTGCAGCATTTAACTTTTTTTAGCATCTCCAAAGTTTGGGCCACCCTTTTGCCTCCAAGAGGAAATCACAAAGGTAGACCCATACAGTTCAGCCAAAGTGTCCACAAAGGGACAAAATCCAAGAGCAAGCAGCACCACTCACACGTAACGAGACTGTGGTGTTACTCAGAACCACACCTCCTGCTAATGAGATTGAATTTGCTTTTATGATGCAGAAATAAACACTCCACCCAGGCTGTGGAAAAGCCATCCCTCGCACCGAGCAAGTAACCATTGCTGTGGTGAGACCTCCAATACTTGCTCTCAGGAGTTGGGACAAACACAGTGCAGACTCAGCAGTAATGCTGCAACCTCCGTGCACGGGTTTCCCTCACCCTCTGCCTCTTGCTGAAGCAGGTACCAGTTCTCCTACTCGTAGGGCTTCCAAGGCATGGTCCTAAGAACTAGAAAAGACCCCAAAATTGCTCCATCTCTGCAGGGTGTCACCTTGAGTCAGGCTTTTCATTTTGCTGGACACAGTCCCATAAAGCCAGCCAACACAGAGTCAACATGAACCCTTCAATAATCACTTATTTATTGGCTTTTTGGGGGGCATGCCTCCCCCCAAACTCTTCCTTTTGACTGAAGTAAGAGCTATATAAACTTATGTGTACACAAACCACAGCAAATCCAAGCAACACCAGCTCCACAGCACCAAAGATGGTTTTGGTCCTCACCTTAAAACCAAATCCCCAGCACACGATGGCCAAATAACGCTCGGAGGGACCCAAGAGTTAAAGCAGCACCAGCCGTCTAACAGCCAGCTCTGCAGCTGAAGAGCAACAGATTTTTATATGTATCGCGTGCAATTATTTTTAGAGCTGCTCGATAGCTACAGCAGCAGGAACCTTTAGATGTTAATGGAGCTACACAAATATATTGCCAGAACAGCAGTTTTATCAAAGAGGGAAACAAAAATAAAAATTAAAAAAATAGACTTTTCTCAGCACACCACCTCTAGCACCCCACAAGCCTTCAGCGCTTTCCCTGCCATGAGGAAGGACTTGGGGGTACTGGTGGACGAAAAGCTCAACATGAGCTGGCAATGTGTGCCCAGAAAGCCAACCGTGTCCTGGGCTGCATCCCCAGCAGCGTGACCAGCAGGTCGAGGGAGGTGATCCTGCCCCTCTGCTCTGGTGAGACCCCCCTGCAGTGCTGTGTCCAGCTCGGGGGTCCCCAGGACAAGAAGGACATGGAGCTGTTGGAGCGAGTCCAGAGGAGGCCACAGAGATGATCGGAGGGCTGGAGCACCTCTGCTATGGAGACAGGCTGAGAGAGTTGGGGTTGTTCAGCCTGGAGAAGAGAACGCCCCGGGGAGATCTAATTGCGGCTTTACAGTACCTGAAGGGGCTACAGGAAAGGTGGAGAGGGACTGGTGACAAGGGCAGGGGGTGACAGGCCAAGGGGGAATGGGTTTAAACTAAAGGAGAGGAGATTCAGACTAGATATACAGGAGAAAATTTTTTACGCTGAGGGCAGTGAAACACTGGCACAGGTTGCCCAGAGAGGTGGTAGATGCCCCATCCCTGGAAACACTCAAGGTCAGGTTGGACGGGGCTCTGAGCAACCTGAACTGGTTGCAGATGTCCCTGCCCGTGGCAGGGGGGTTGGACTAGATGGCCTTCAAAGGTCCCTTCCAACCCAAACTATTCTATGACTCTGTGAGGCTACCACAGGGAACGGGCTGGTTCAGGACCCCCAGACTAACCTCCCATGTCCCCCTCCAGCAAGCAGCATTGCATGAGACGTAACATCCCTGCAGCGTGGCCAGGAGCCCCATCTTTGGCCAGACCACAAAAGGAGGAGTAGGTGCAGCTGGCAAGGTGCCGATACCTCACTCTGCTTTCCTCACCCCCTGCACCTTGCCCCAGTTTCTCCAGGCTCCGACACGATGTGAAGGGCTTTATAGACCATTGTTGCAGTTCTCACCCCTCCTGCAAAACTCCTTGCCTGCCTTTTCATCCCCACTGCCGTGGTTTCATCCTGTGCCAGCTCTCTCCTGACAGAAGAGAGATCAAACATGCTCTAGAAATCCCCAAAATAGATGGGGATCAGGATGTACCCAGCTCAAGACAGCCTCAAAAACAAGACGTTGCTGGTCTTGGCTGGAGTCCTGCAAATTCTTCACCTGTGCGTGGGGCTAGGCGAAGACTTGGACCTGCCTGGACAGACAGATGCAAAAAGCAGCACATTGACCCCAAAGCAACCCAAAACCCATGGTGGTGCTTGTGCACACTTTGATGGATGAAATTTGGGTCCATCTCCAGCAGAAGTAAGACATCATGTCAGCTCCTCTTGGCAACTCATCACCAACCACGGCCAGGAGCGATCCAATGCCTGCGTGAAATGTGGGAACCACTGTCAGAAGGTAGTAGGTCTCAGCATCCACCACCCAGGGATGGACCTACTACCTGGTGGTGGAAGACTTCACATCCCATCAGCCACCCTGACTACAAAACTACAGGATTTCGGTGATAAAACTGATTTTCCAGGACTCTGCGTGTACACACATGTGCAAGGGATCACATAGTACAGAAGGCAGTAAGACATAGGTGTTTCCAAGGTCTCAGGAGCCCTGGGGGTAACTCCTTCTCTGGCTGGGAGATCCCAAATGTGATCACTGCTCCAGCACAAGCACTCCCCACACCAAGTGCTTCCCCCATCAGGCTAAATAGCTGCGGGCTGATAGAATAGGGTGTTACAAATGCATTTCCCCAAGCACCTGTAATGTTCTCCTTTCATGCGTGCATGTACACACACGCCCAAAAAAGGGGACCACCTTTTTTTCTTCTTGTTGTGCATTTTCACCATCCTCCCCTCCTTGCTGTGCTCCAGCAGGGATGCAAACCCTCCAGGCAGGGCAGGCTGCTACACAAACCCACATCCAACCCTTCCCTTTCACCCTTAAATCCTAGGTATGTCAAACTGTACAGTGCTGAAATAAAAGCACTTTGTCATTCTTAGATCTTTACAAGGCGAGCTTTAATTAAAACCTTCCAAGCTTCGAGGCGGCCCATGGTGGGGCCATGCTGGAGCATCGCGCTCACGTTGCCTGCCTTCCCTGCCTTCAGCTTCTGCAACCCGCTCCCTCCAAAGCGGCTTCACACACTGTATGTTTGCCAATCAAACTCATATAGATGAGAGCCATCACGTCACCAAAACCACGCTCCCCTGGCAGGTACCCACCTGGGCAGGAGGAGAGCATCTCTGCGAACCTCTACTTCCATAATCTCAACTCTAGCATAATTATTCCACTTTATATGCCATATCCTGGCTTCATTAGCTTTAACAACCTCTTGATCTTCTGGAGGAGCTTGTTATGGAGGTAAAGGACAGGCAGGTCTACCTCAAAGCATTGGGACCACAGGGTTAGCCTGATTTCAGGCTCAGGAGACACAACCCTGGGCAAATCACTTGACCTCCTGACACTCCAGGGTCACTATCCAGGAAGGCAGAAAGACAAATCAAAGGTGAACACGCAAATGTCAGCTAAGAGCGAGGTGGAGATTGGGACAAATATCTGTGTATTTTTCTTCGTAAAGCAAGCACACTTCTACTTTTCCCCCTTTGCAGCAGGATTATTGCCAACCTCATTCTATATTGTTCAAAGAAATAACATGGTCCAGTATTTTTGGATGCTCTTGAAGAGGACAAAAACATATATGAAAGAAAAAAAAAACGCACAAGCTTCAGTCCTGGCTTCCCAAGAATTTATACATTTATACATACAGCATGTGAACAGTTAAGCAGCTTACTTTGAAACAGTCTAATAACTAATTTTACTAATAGATGGCTTGTGAGAGCTGCCAGGTAAAGTTTTCCCAAACTTTGCTTTTCCCAAGTAAAAAGAGCAAAATACAAGCTCTACCTTAAATTAAGAGGTCATACTAGACAGCACGGTTCAGAGTTGGGATGTAATTTGTCTTCTCCCTGTTGTGTTTGTGGGTTGTTTTTTTTTTTAAACACTATCAAAGATAACTCCACAGAGATAATTTAAAGAGGCTCTTGCAGCAAAAAACCAGAGGACTCTCCTTGCAGCCACTGTGCATGGATGCTAACGGCATCTCCTTCCAGCTCTGCACTAAAGCAAATAAACTTCATTAATGTGCACTCAAAGTGCAGTCCTGGGCTGAACTGGGGTCACTGCCACGCGTGTTTTTGCCCATCCACCAGCATTATGTCCACTGCAGCAGGATCCCACGTCCCCTGTGATTAACAGGTGGTTATTTATGGAATTATTTAGCAGTGCTAAATGTGCTTGTGCAAACCACCGCGCTTGTCAGTGCTGGGAAGAGCCGCTCTTGATGGGTGCTGTCAGCAGGAGGGCACAGAAAGGCACCAGCTCCAGGGCTCTCCTGTGTGCCTTGCAGCCTTAAAAATCCCTTCTGCCCCACTTGGCAGTGACTCAGG